TCCGAGGTGCAGACCGACGACAGACAGCGTCTGGCCCTGAGCTTTGTTGATGCTCATGGCGAAGTTTAGTTTGATGGGAAATTGTAGGCGCCTCTCAACTGGTCCTGGTTGTGCTCTCTTTCAATATTGTTACAGCCATGGATTGTAGTGTTCTTGATGGCTGTGCATTGCTATGGCAAGTACCTTGGCCTGCCTCAAGTGATACAAGGCCAGCAACAGTAGCCCACTATGTAGAGGGTTTCAAAGGGATCGTACAACAGCGCCTAAGGATGGGGGATGTATATCTCGTCTTTGACAAGTATATTCAATACAGCACCAAGTGTTCAGCCCGCAAGGCACGGGGTCCAGGTGGTTGTAGGGTGTTCCAATTACAGGCATCGTCACCGCTCCCTCCACAGAACCAGATTTTAAACATCTCTCAGAACAAGAAGCAACTGATCCAAATTATTTCTGAGGACTTTAAAGGTATCATACTCATAGATGTACTGGAAGGCCATCCCCACACGTTAGTCATTACTGGCCAAGATGAAGTGCCTGTAGAGATTTCTCCATATGGCTTAGTAATTCAGAGAACAGACCTCAAGACAGACCATGAAGAAGCAGACACAATCGTCACAGCACAGGCGATATATGCAGCACAAGAAGAGAAGAAGAAAGTCATTGTTGAGGCAGATGACACAGATGTGTACGTTCTGTTGCTGTACCATTACCTCGATAGAGGGCTTAACATCCCTATAATAATGCAGTCACCAAGGAAAGGCAGAGCTGTTGTGGATATTAGTGCTACAGTGATAAAGCTTTCCAGTATCATTCCCGACATGTTACCAGCCCATGCCCTGACAGGTTGCGACACTGTTCCCATGTGCCACGGGATCGGAAAGGACAAGATGTTGAAAACTCTTCGGGGAGGGAAATGCAGCTTGAGCCTCCTTGGGAATCAGACTGTTGACTTTGATGATGTGTTGCTCCAGTCACCAGCTTTTGTCTCAGCATGCTACAACATGCATGATGCAACATCCATGACTGAGTCAAGAATTAAAGCTTGGAAAACAAAGACAGATAGAAAAGGAGCAACAGGTACACCGAAGCTGTGCACTCTGCCACTCACCAATGAAGCATTCAAAGAAAATCTCAAAAGAGCACACTATCAGTGCTGCATCTGGAGACATGCCCTACAAGAGCATCCAGACCTTGATCCCACGGAATATGGCTGGGTAAGGGATGAGGAAACTAAGTCCCTACAGCCTGTCACTCTCCCTGTTACGACTTCCCCAGCACCAGATTACATACTCAAGCTCATCAAGTGTTCTTGTTCTTCGGAGAGTCCATGCAAGTCTAAGGGCTGTCGTTGTAACATTGGTAGACTGGCGTGTACAATGTTTTGCAATTGTCAGGGCAGTGCTGCATGTTGTAATGAACAAACTAGAGTTGTCCAACACTAAGCCTTTGATGACGAGGAAGAGGAGGAGGAGGAGGAGGACGATTAAAGCCAACTGATTTTGTTTTGAAACTGTACCAGAAAATGTAAATTGTAGGTAACCTATAAAACTCATTTTCGTGGATTTTGCGTGTTTAACATAAGGGAAGGTTTAACGGTAAACCAATGTTCATGCCTAATCACAGACGTTTATGCTTGTATTAGTCTACAACTATTTCAAAATGTCAAATGCATCTGTAAATGATGGTATAATATAATTTTTACATGCATTGGCATCTCATTATTGGACACTAGGCTTTATTTAATCCAAATTAAATTGTTTATGATGCGGTTTTGGATAAATCTACATTAAATAAATTCCCCACAACTGAGCAACTGCCAGTTGTTAGAAATGCTTGATTTGGTGCATGAACATAAGAAAACAAACGTAAGAAAAACTATATACCTCCATGCAAACCATATGCCCTATTCTGCCAGACTAATATAACTAGCTCATGTTTCTGATGCCCTTTAAACCACATTGTTGTTATAAGAGGCGTTGGCACGTGAGATAAGCTTTAAATCTAAACACTTACCCACATGTTAGGTAATGTTTGTGAAAGTGGTATCACTAGTGTTGAATTCCATCACATGTTGGTACCGGCTCAAGTGGCAATATTCATCCAGATGAGACGGGATACCAAAGAAGTGTTGCCGAAAGGAGGTGTTGATCCTAACCGCTTAGCGCGGATCTTGTGCGCAGTTCCGCGGCAAGGCACACGCGACCGCGGGAACGTCCTACGACAGTATGCAGCGCTGGCAGCTATGTATCCGTGCGCCGAATGGATAGGCCGGCGCAGGATCCATAGCTGCCAGCAAACAGTCCGGAATTTTAGGGAGGGACACAGAGGGCAGAGATTTGGGACGTGGGAGGAACTCGCGACTTAGATGGGGGTTGTACAGATGGGGGGGGGGGCGAGAGCGAAGGTTTTGATTTTGCAGTGGTTCCATTTCCGTGTGGTCTTGGGCGTTTTCACTATAAGTTGTACAGCGCCCCATGTGAACATCAGAGAAATCGCACCATGATTGCATGAAGAAATGGATGACGATGTTGTATGAGAGAGTATGCGCATTATGTGGCTATTCGTAACATCGAACTGATTCCTCTGTGTATTGCTCTGCTCTGTGCTGCTACAGAACGTCATGACAGCAGTACCTACGTTGTGTTGAAGGGAACTGTCGACAGCCGTGATGTTGAAGATGTCTGCGACGTTGTTTTGCCTGAAGTTCTTCATGTAACGTGATGTTCTGCGCACAATGGCCAACTTCGTCAATATGATCGATTTGGATGACATTTGTCACGCGTAGTTAGACTTATATTGCTGAACGGTGCATATATGACCGCCGGAGAATGTATAACTGTACAGCCAGCTGTACATGAGCCGGCAAAGGCAAAGTCTGCTGAGGCAGTTACAAGTATAACACACAAAGAAACCATCGAACCATGAAGAACACGGGTCAACAGCGGTATTTCCTTACTGCTTATAAGGCTGGTGAGGTAAATGGAATGAACGGTTACAAATACATCGCAATATATGCTGTTATATGCTAGGACTCTATATGCTTTACATTGCACGGTCGTTCAATTGTGAGACATTGCGCGACGACATGCCTCACCAAGAAAATCAGGACACAGAAATAATGCATATGGAAGAATACCCAATACTTGATTATTCACTAACCGCATACTTCAGCACCCGCGAAATGGTTCGTCAAGGCAGACGTCAAGTACCACACAAATATCGTCAATGTTGTATAGAGTTACAGCTAGCTGCAAACAAAACATGACTTACAACGAATGAACACCATTTCTCAGCTTTGTGCAATATGGACAAAATGAACAGAAGGCTATAATGAAATGTTACATATATGTACCACTCACAGTAACGTTATGATGCTGCTCATGCTGTGTGCAGATAGGCTAGTTCCCATTTCAGTTTCTCTTTCCAGTTGGCTTTCTAGACTGGTACCCGATCGCCACCTTCACTCCGGCAAGTATCCTTCGCTACACTGAAGTTAGTTAGCAGTGCTCAATTTTAAGGTTTCTTTTGGGTTGTCCAGAGGACAACCAAGAGACCCAAAAGGGTTGTCCCTCAAGAGTTTTGGTTGTCCGGATATTATTTAAACATGTGCTGCATGCGCTCTGCTCACGTGATACTCAGTGCTGTAAAGCAAAAGGCCTAATCATGTACATTTTGTACGTATTGCAGTGACAGCAGACATGGCGATTCGCATTGTTTCACTCATTATATGAAGAGAATAAAATATTGGTAATGTGTAAATGATGCTGGGATCAATGACGTATAATAATAGTAATTAAAAGTTGCATAAAATTTATTTCATAACATTTACATTAACTACTAACATTACACTACTAACATTACTAACATTACTAACTCTAGGCGCGTTCACACACAAGAAAAACCGCGATGCTAATCGCGATGAAATACCGAGATAATTGTGTCGTTGTTCACACAGGCGAATAATCGCGCTAATCGCCGAGCGGGATAATTCTATTAATCGAACTGCGCATGCTCACTGCCGGAATGATGCTCACTGCGCATGCTCACTGCAGTTCCTCCCATTTGACTGCGCGTTCCCAACAAGAAAGAGGTGCGAAATCAGGTAATCAGGCGCCAACGCTAACTTGTTTCAAACAACATAACATCGACTTGGTTTGGTGACGTCACATGTTTCTATCTTTGCTGCGCCCGTACCGCGCCACCGCTGCACGGTTGCTTGGAGATTGGGGAAACTGTCAACAACATCGGAGAATTTCAACAACATTGGAGGTATTTTCAAAATACTTTTTATAAGACAACGCGCAGTGAAATTGGAGGAGCTAGAGTTTATTTTGTCATAAGGTAGTGTGATTATTCATGCCACGAAGTATTTGCTAGTCTAGTACTGTAGAAATTAGCGTTTGGATGCACATTGTGAGCCTTTAACGACGAAACACAAGAAAGGAAGGCACGTGAGATACACGATGCAACAATCTGAGAAGCTACTCAATACAAAGCACTAGACGATCACGCGATGCGAAAAAACGAAACGATATAAGATAAAGACAGTATGGTCTTATCTATAGACAGTATGGTACTATGTCAGCTATAAGGTAAATCCAGGCGGGATAGCGACACGCGAGCTAAAAGCAGATGCAAACATAAAAAACGTAACTCAACCAACTTGAGCTCAAATCGTACACAATACATTCGCCTAGCATCGTGCAAAATCGTTTCCTCGTACATACACCCGCAATCCGGAGATACAGACTAAAACATACGACACGATTTTCCATTATGTTGCCAGCAAACTAAATGTGTAAACCGCCTAACTCGAAACAAAAGGCGGCTGTAAGTAGGTCAAAGATTTGCTCAGCGAGCCACACCGCATTGCCGAGGGCGCAAGAGTCGTTAGTAGCTGCCTTTTGTTTCAAGTTGGATGAGTTACACGTAGTAAATCGTAGGTATTCTAAGGCTAGTAAATGACGAATTTCCCTTGTTTATTGAAGTCATGCACACTCCTTCCCTAATATCTACTCCTGATATCTGTACTACATTAATTTGTGGCTAAAAGCGCCTTCTTTTTTGCCTTGGTTTGCGCCGATGAAATTTTTCGCTCCCCGGCATTCCATATTTTAGCGTACGTCAATCTGCTCCCTGTCTGCTCAGCAAACACCCAAGCTGAAAGTACATGCAATTTTAAGGGAAAGTTCAGATACAGAAAAATAGTCTTTTATGACAAGCAGAGCAAGTTTTGCTCATGAGATTATGACTGAGGTTTTTATTTCGTTTTACTATTTTCAAAAATTTAACCCATGCATTATGAAGTTTTTAAGCTAACATTTTTTGAGTACACATTAATCTGTGTAAATAAAGTCATAAATCCAAAACCCAGATTTGAACATAAGAGTTCATTTCAATTAACCGTTTTAATTGGAATGAACTATTCCGAATTCTAATGCAAACTATTCAGCAAAATTGTTCGTATGATGTCCTGGAAGAATTCACAGCCAAAGTGTTGTCGGCAAATGATTCGAATTTATAATAATAGTCGCGTCTATACTAGAGTTGTAAAAAGCGGTCTCAACGGACGTGGTTCCGAGCCGGAGCCGGTTTATCTATAGACGAGCGTCTATACGACTCGCTGAGATGAAACGCTACTTGATGTTTCGGTAATGAGAGGATATTTGCAATATACAATAAACAACTTCAGATAACAATTCGGCTTGCACGCCCTCTGTTGCAGACTTCAACGGAATCGGTTTCCGAGCGGTACGAGTCTATACTAGTAAAATAGCGCTTTGGAAACGGTTCCGATGGAACCGGTTAATTTCAAGCCGATGAATTTGCGAGTTTCAAATAAACCAGTTTCTGTCAAATCCGCATTTTTAAAAGCGGCATTTTACGCAAGTGTAGACGGTCAAAACCGGTTCCAACCTCTAGTATAGACGTGGCTAGAGTGTCATGTTTTTTCAAGACTTGAAACTTACCAACAATTGTTTTCACAACATTACTATCGAAAATGTCTGTAGCTCCTTCTTCTACTCGCTTCTTTGATGGCCATTTCCGGTTCAGCCGTTCACTTTCCGGAAAAACAAATCCTATGAGTTGTCTGATAGCATTGCCTGGTCTTTTTAGGTCAAGCCTATTTAATTCATCTGCATGAATATATACACTACCTCCCAAACAGATCATCTGAAATGGAAACGAGAATTCTCAGTTTTAAACCAGTACCTCTGGTTAGGTGCAATATACTAGGGAGGCCAGAGAAGAACCTTTGATTATTAAGGTGAGGACAAACCTTGAGAAGTTTGCATGTGAAAAATGTGGCATGAGAATTTCATTAGGAGAGAACTGTGGACACAAAAGATGTAAGGTATCATGAAGATTGATATTATATCCTTTATTTTTTCAGTGTAAACGGTAAATTATAGCAGTATTTGCAGGTTTCATGTCTAGTGCTATATGTGCTATCTTAGATAACTGGATTTCACACCAGACAAAACAGACACACGCATATATTCTGCAATATTCAAAATACTGAAATATAGAATCTTATCATGGTTTGAACGACCCTTACCTTGTACTTTTGGGCATCCTCTTCAGAGACAACTCCAGCCTTTGGCCTACAGTAAGACGCAGCTGATGGTCTTGTTTCGTTCAGGCTGCCGGTAGAAGATGTTGCTGTAATATCAAATATTTTGCAATCACTTGACAGTTTTACGTTTATCCTAACATTACATGTATTAGATTAGAAGATGCCTGTTCAGAAACATTATGGTTATTCATAAGCCATATCTAAACGACAGAAGAATAGCGGTTTTTTGTTAAAATTCCGATGTCAATGAAACCGGTTCCGAATTTGAACCGGTTCTATTGACATCGGAATTTTCGTTCATGTAGACGCGCGATTGATTAAGCCGGTTTTTTTTGGAGATCAGTAACAGATGGCGCGGTTCATTCTCAACTTTCTGTGACACATTGCACCTTTCATCGAGATTTTTTTGCCGTATAGACGCGGAAGAGATATAGCAATCTCAGACAAACCGCTTTTAAATAAAGCCGGTTTTTTCCGTGTAGGCGTGTAGATACTACGCACGAAATTAGTGGTTTTAATAAAACCGTTTTCAATATAAACCGGTGTTTTCATACAAACGTGCAGACAGGCCGGGCTATATATTCAACAGCAAAACAGTCCAAGCCAGCTTTTTTTTGGATCTGATAATCTGAACATGAAATGAAACGTGCAAAAACATCAAAACTGTATGGTTTAATTGTACCCATAAGTTTATTTAATGTAGTAAAGTTGAAAACAGATATCTAACAGAAAATGAAGGCAATTATCACTAAACTATAGACCATGCAGCTCACATCCAATGGACTTTATAATTTTTTATCTGTAAGCCTTGGTCGAGAGCTAGATTGAATTAAAGTGATTATAATTACCCATGGCCTTGTACTTTGAAACTTTGTCAGTTAGCTTCAAGTTTTCAGCTTTCAGCCAACTAACCTGTTCTTGAAGCTTCGAACAAGAAGAACAAGTTGTTGTCCAATCATAACTGTTAGATGGATCTTCTGAAAGTTCAAAAAGTTAATGAATGTTCAAAACTGACAAATTTTTCTTTGTGCCGACCATTAGGCAGAGGCGTTACAAGTTCTGCCAAATAAAAGGCACCGACAGACAGACTATCAGCTGGATGGCAGACACATACAATAATTCAGCCCAATGAAATTAGCCGTCCTGGATAACATTCGAATTCGCAGCAGAATTTTAGTCCCGAGGAACGATATTTGCTTACAAATTCACAATAGTGGATACCGTATGAACTCGAGTACATAGCCCTGTCTACACGGCAGAAAAATGGCGGTTTTTGGTAAAAATTCGGATGTCAATAAAACCGGTTCCGAAAATAAACCGGTTTTTTAAAACCTGCTCCGGAGTAGGTTTAATTTGAACCGGTTCCATTGACATCGGAATTTTCGTCCGTGTAGACGCGCGATCGATTAAACCAGTTTGAATGAGATCGGTAACAGATGGCGCAGTTCATTCTCAACTTTCTGCGACGCATTGCAGCTTTGATTGAGACCGCTATTTTTGCCGTATAGACACGGAAGAGAAATAGCGATGTCAGACAAACCGCTTTTAAATAAAGCCGATTTTTTCCGCGTAGCCATGTAGATACTGCAGCACAAAATAGCGATTTTAATAAAACCATTTTCAATAAAAACCGGTGTTTTCACACAAGCTCATATCGTTTCTTGATCTGCCTGGCCTGAAATAAATTTCATGATAACACAAGAAGAAACAGCACTGCCCACCCATAAAAAGTGGCGGGTAATTATAAAACCAAAGAAATGCTGTCCGATATTTCAGAACATTCCAAATCCAAGTAACAACAGCAGACTGACTTACCATACAACATTTCAGTATATGACTCTTCTGGTTGTATCAGCAGCTGTATTTCCTGTCTCTCCTGGACATTTAGATTATCGACCAGAGCAATTGCATCTCCATAGACCGAGCTCAATGGAGCTGTTATAGATTGCTGGTTGACGAAGCCTGGTTGTTCAGGCTGGCTGCGGATGATCGGTTGTTCCGACTGGCTAAGAGAAATTGGCTGCAGAATACCTGTAGTGTAAACAAAGATGCTAAGGTGCTTGTTTCTAAAAACGGGGCTGGTGAAATAAAATCTGGCTGTAAAAAGGTAAAATACAAAGAGGGCAGGCAGACTTCGAACATGTTCATGTTATCTTTTTCAAAATACCGGGAGGCATCAAATTAAACATAGGTTGGCATAATAAAAACTACAAAACTACAAAGAAGTAATTTTGTTGTCGCAATTAAATTACATTTCATTTTTACCTTGATTACCACAAAATAATTTTCAAATTTTAATACAAAGAAGAAATTTCCATGTGATTTATTTAACAAGGTTCTACTCTGGTTTAACTTTATGAGTGAATGCAACAGCACTCTGGACGAGTGCCTGTGCCTGTGATGAGTGAACGTACCTGTTCGGTTAAATCGCGCCAAAAATTCTCTCTTAGCAGCTGGCGGTTCTTCATTTATTTGAGCTTTCCCTCTTTTCGCGCCAGTAGTTGGTGTTTCTGAAAGTACAACAAATAGCTTCGTAGAAATTTCATACAAATAAAACCAAAATTATTTCTTACTTTGACAGTTTCGTCTTACGATCTGTAAGACATCAGATATGTTGTTGTTCTCTATCGCCGCGAGATGGCAGCAGTCGGCGATCGGAAAACAGTATTTCCTGAAGCCTACGAATAGACCGCTGCTCCCACCACCGTGAAAGACTGCTTTCTGATTCCGCGGCAATAGAGAACAACAACATTAAACAATTCAATAAATCACCAGTAGATATCTACTTGCCTTAGTATTTAATACATCGATGCAAAATTTAAAGTATCTGCATTAAATATTTTCTGAATTATTGGAGAAAATGTATATTATCAGAATCCAATATGGCCACCATTGGCCATTTTGGATCCAATTTTCACCAATATTGAAGTCTTCCAAGATTTTTAGGTCATACAGCTACATACTAAATTTGAAGAACAGTTCAAATATTGTGGAGTTTTATACTCACCTGAACGCCGTTTCGTACTAGTAATCTGCTGCTCATCTGTACTGTGCACACCCACATTGTCACCTTGACTAGAATTTGAATTTTTAGATGTTGTCATAGTTTTTAGACATTGAGCTATGAATTTCTCTATCTCAGCATCATTATCTGAAAAATAAAAAATTGTTCCTCAGTATATTTACAATTACAGTTACTATCACCTCTACGACGGCGAATATTCTCCCGCTGCAGAGTCAATACACTAAGATGCTACCACCACATAGTCATTTTTAAAGTGAACATTCAAGCGACATTCAGCTGATAAACTGGACACACTATAGACAAATGTTATTGCACCAAATTTATGATTGATCATATAGGCAATGCTTATGATTAAGGCCAGTGGGTAAAAATTGGCCAAATCTTAAAATTGCATATATGGGGGAATGGGGAACAAAAATCATCAAAATTTTAAGAATATACTTTGGAGTTATAAGTTATATATTATATATATATAATATATATATATATATATATTATATATATATTATAAGTTGGCTAAAATGTTCTCTAATGTTTAAGAATGCGTACATGAGCTAGGGGTCCTTACCATCGATTTTTAAGATTTTAGCTTCATACAATTCACCACAGTACTCTGCCATTACTTCTTTACCCTCCTCTCTGTCTTCTGACCTCGCTATGCATCCTATTGACATTTTGCTTATTTGCTGGTCTTCTAACCAAAATAATACACAGCTGCATTTTAAAATAGCATCTAGATCACTCTTTTTTTCTGAAACAAAATGGAGAATACAATAAAAACATCATTCCGTTAAGTAGTGCATGCGCATAGCATCCAGTGGACTGATGGAATTAAAAAAACAACATTTATACAACAACAATGGTACCTCTGGCTGTTAACAACTCAGACTGATGATAGCCGAGATATAGATAATCTTAAAATTAATTCTAGGCCCTATATTCTTTTTTTCTATTTTCTAATTTATGCCTACTCTATGAATTCCAAAATTCTAAACAACAATTTTTACATTTCATATTTATTTTTTCTGAATAAGGGTAGGCCTATTTCTTGTTGTTTAATTTATGCTTTTTGTTCATACAACGACTAGCAGTGTATTGAGTATTTGGCTCTCCGTTTTTGGCATCGTAAAAAACACCCAAAAACAACACAAATAAAATGGTAATTAGTTATAGGATATGCATAGCTAGGCCTAGTCAAGACGTCATGATCATGATGTAATCATTGTAGCCATAGATGATCATGAATTGATGTTTAAAAATGACATTAAAATGAAAACACACATATTAAAGCAAGAATGTACTTACGACCAAGCTCTAGTACACGAACTGTGACTGTCTTTTTTCCGTATGGAATTTTACAAGTATCACCGAGTTTTGGTGTATGAGAGAATTTCGAAATTTTCTCGTATCCACGTGTGCTGTCTTTGATATAGTATACTGCCACCCACTTGACACTTTGGTTGAGTGTTCTTGATGAAGTGTGACTGACATCAGGTGCATTAGAAGGGTTGAAGCATTCCATCAATGTCTCCATTATAATATAATGACAATCAACATGGCGCGTTCTTCTTGGCAGGCGGAGGAGGTGTGTCATGAATTTTTCACTTGATATCGTGATCATTGTGAATCTACGTAATCATAAACATTTAAAAAATTTGAATTTGAAGGGGGAAAAATAAATCAATGATAATTTAATTCATTTCTATCACTTTAACAGAAAAAAATGAACTGAAAGATTTTATGTTCCCGCCATAAGTTCCCGCCAATTAAACCGGAAGTATCTGGTTGTCAAGGCCACAGTCTGTCTACAATCAGTGGTCGCACATCTGTGACAGATGTGCGACCACTGATCTCTACCAACTTACCAAGGACTCAATGAGCTACATAATTTATAACAGTTATATGTAGCTCGTTGATCTCTACTAGTACTATACTATTAAACTACGTTAGTATAGTAGAGATCAGTGTGTACGACTGCGCGTCATGTGCTTTCATTTCATGAATCCAGCAATTTGTTTTTCCAGAATTATCATCTAATCTAAATTAAATAAATCATAGCTCTACATATCTGAACTTGAATGATAAAGACGTACGAGCGTTAGCTGTTTTCAGTTGATGAACAAGTGCCGTTGGTAAGTTTTTATGTTAATTAGTGCAATATGTGATTCAATGTCGGCTGTTTGTTGTTTTTCTTCATATACTACAGTCTACATAGTACCTACATATTCTTAAATACAAGTCTAAGATATAAAAACGGGCAGAAATACTAAAATACAGGATAAGAATTTCCTGAATGGGCCCGTTCATAAATTACGTACGCAAAAATCTCACATTGTTTGACCCCTCCCCCCCCCTACTCCTAGTCCTAGCTCCTGTACGCATTTTGTACTTTTGACACCCCCCCCCTAAATTACATATGGTACGCATGAAATTCGTTTTGATCCTTTTTTGATTCATGATTTACGTACGTACGGTGTAGAGTGCACGTGCATTTCCAAATATCGATATTTTCCCACAGTGTCGTATAAACTATAACGCTTGCCGACAGTCAGCATACTTGAAGTTGTGTACATGTATCGATCAACAGCGCAGACAAGTTAAAAACAATGGCGGTTTTAATAGATCACTTTGGCGCTGCAGGTTAGCGTCAACAATGCCTGCAGGGGTTTTACGAAGTTGTCTCACAGCCGGAAACAAATAAACAAGCCGAAACACAGCAGGATTCTTTTTAAGTAGGCTTACTGCCTGTATTTATTTAGTTTTCTCAGTTTAAAACAAATTTTTCTGTACGTACGTAAGTACGCACGCTCGTCCTGAGACCCCCTCCATCTCCGTACACAAAGCATACTTTGTTCTTTAAACCCCCCTATACCTATGGTCATGCGTACGTAATTTATGAACGGCCCCTAATGAATTGTTTAAGTACGAGACAAGACTCTAACAGAAAACTGACCACAACTGTTTTAGGCTGATTTTTGGCATTGGATAGGCTGAATATCTACTCGATACAAATATTTTTACCAATTTCGTATTATTTTTCAGGTGATTGGAATAATAATGAGTTCTACACCCAAAAGACGTGGACCTTATAAAAAACACAAATACGACAATGATGCTAAATGTCCGAGAACTACGAAATGGCGAATGACGCAAGATAGTCCTACTGCAAGTTCTCATTCAAAATTTGATATAGAGACCACTACTACTACTACATGTACTAGTCCTACAGAATGTTTAACCAATCAGCTTCAAAATGACATAGTTGTAGATGAACTTGAATGTCTTGGTGCAGAAGAATATGTCGATAATTATCCAGATGAGTGTTTGGTTAGTGACGATGATCACAGTGATTGCAATCAGGACACAATACCACCTGGTTCAGTCAACGAGGATTCAGTGCCAATATTTTGCGGATCACGACTTACATTAGCGTGTAGTATGTTGTTGATAGTCACATTTGTAATGAGACATAAACTTTCAGGTGAATGTCTGTCAGATCTCTTGACTCTGATTGAATTGCATTGTGCTCTTCCAAACATCTTTGCGCAGTCTACCAAAATATTCAAGGATTTCTTCAAAAATCATCCATTTCCACTGGAATTCCATTATTACTGTGAAAGTTGTAGACATTACAATGGGAAGGAATCGATGTGTTCTCTGTGCTCAAGTAACTTGGACTCCAACTACTTCATTCTCATCCCAGTGATTCAGCAGCTGCAAATTATTGTTAAAGGTAAGTAGGTCCCTGTAGGCCTTATTTTTAATGGGAAGATTCCATTCAGTGTTGTTAATGCGCATTATTGCACCTTAATATAGTTTAGGCCAAAACCAAATATAGGTGTGGTTACGGTTTCCTGACCGACCCTACTTATTCCCAGCGACCCTAAACATTTTATTGTCAATTTTCTTTAAAGTAGAAAAAAAAAAAAAATGAATTGGACAGTTCCTGCTTCAAAAAGCAAAACCTGAAATACCTTGAAATACCGGCATTTGAATCGACAGATAAATCAGGGGCAATGCTCTAGTGTAGACGAGGCTCATGTAGACTTTAGTCTTATGTGTTTTGTCTTCATTGCAGAGTCCTTCAATGATATCATCACCTACAGATATTCAAAACAGTCAGAAAGGAATAGCAACATCACTGATGTTTTGGATGGAAAACTTTATAAGGAAAAGTTTGATGGAATTTTTATCCGTGGATCAAATGTGGATCCAAAGAAGAATGAAGTACACATTTCAACACAGATGAATACCGATGGTGTTGCACTATTTCGTTCAAATAGTATGTCTGTATGGCCCATATACCTGACAATCAATGAGATACCACCATCAAAGAGGTGTGTTTTTAATTGAAAGGTGATTAAAATTGAATGGACATGAGCATTATTTTGACCACAGTGATATCCAGGATTCAAGCATTAAAAAGATGTAGACATGTAACGTCATGTAACCCTTACCTTATGGTGATTCTTTTGATTTCACATGGACCATTCAATTTATGAATCCAAGAACCTTATTACATAATAGCACCTATCTTATTCTTATTTCATATGCAAGCAACAGCAATATTTTAAGAATGTCATGCCAATGCTGAGCTGTCAGTTGACAGGCTGCTTTATCTGTGTAGTTGCTTTGATGGTCTTTATTTAAACTGTTATTTTCAGGTACACGAGAAAGTACAGAATATTCGCAGGATTATGGTTTGGAGAAAATAAAGCAGACATGTTGTTGTATCTAGAGCCATTAGTCAAGGAATTCCAAAAACTGTACATGGAAGGTATGTATGGATGACCTATCTGAGTTCATTTCAGACAATGTGCTTTAGTTATTATTATTAGTTTCCCTTGCTGTGATAAAAAGTGAGGTCAAACTCGCCCAAGTGGGCATGGTGTTCCTGGACCCCTAGTTATTATATGAATGCGATTCTTCGTGGATTATTTAGATTGTTAAATTTTTAGCATTGCTCTAGAAGAACTGCTGATTTGTCAATACTACTTGTGTGTCTTGCTTTGTTTTGCATGTGAATCCTGACAGCACTAATTTTTGTCTTACTTTTTCAGGTTTCAGCATTGTCCATTCTGGAAAGGAATATATTGTTAGAGCTATTATGTTAAGTGGTGTATTCGATTCCCCAGCAAGATCTAGTACTCAAGGATTTCTGCAGTTCAATGGTTACAACAGCTGTCCAAATTGCATGATACCAGGTGAAAATTTGCAAGTGAGCGAAAGGGGTCGTGTTACTGTATTTCGTTTCGATACCTCTGCAGCAACTGGCCACCATGACATTCGAACACATCACAAAACATACCTGGATGCTATGAAGGCTGAAAAAGATGGAAAAGTTGTAGCTGGCATTAAGGGATTGAGCTGGCTGTATAAATTACCACTATTTGATATAATTCGTGGAGTGACTGTGGACTATATGCATGCAGTTCTCTTGGGAGTCACTAAATCTCTAATGAACAAATGGATGGACAAACGTAATAGAACAGAGGCATATTTCATTGGTACTAAGGACAAACTCAAAATACTTAATCAGCGCTTAATCAATATCAAACCACCTGTTTCAATCAGCAGACCACCAAGGCCGATCAGCGATTTGGTTCATTGGAAAGCATCTGAGATCCGGTCATTCCTGCTTTTTTACAGCATTCCAGTTTTGTTTGAAATACTTCCAGCTGAATATTATCAACACTTCATGCTGCTATCACAATCAATCTTCATCCTACTCAAGTCTTCTATCCCCCCAGCAGAGCTTACTGTTGCTAGAGAACTGCTCATAGAATTTTGTTGTAGGATGGGATTGTTGTATGGAGCTCGTATGGATACCTCAAATGCTCACTCTCTCTTACATTTAGTGGATAAAGTCTCTGACTTAGGACCACTCTGGGCACATTCTTGCTTTTTTTATGAGGACCTTAACGGTGACCTAAGGAATATGTTTCATGGTACACAAAAAGTACAGTTACAAATAATGTATGCAATATCCATACAAAGAAAGATACCAGATCTTATTAACCTGTTAATACCTGGATCTCCCGAGGATTTATTTTATAAACGACTTGTTAGTTATCATAAAGTTAAGAAACCGACTGAAGTTATCTGTGACCGTGTTTTAGCAGTTCATCCGCTTGTCAAGATAAGCTTGGAACAATTGCCACAACAGCTCTTGTCAACCATTGGTGGGTCCATCATGGAGGCCTCTAAATTTACGCGATTGTTGTTTCACGGCAGAATTGTAGAGAGGGACAGGAAGAAGCATGCAGGTAGAGGATGAATAGTAAATGGGAAAGATGAATGAAGCTATAAACCGATGAACGTATTTCGAGAGGAT